TGCCTGACACGAGCGCCCAACCCCTTAATCAGACCAAACCCTGCTTGCCCTTGCCCGACGACTCTCCTCTGCAGCTCACCCGTTCGTCGCGCAGAGAATGGCTCAGTCAAATGGAAGCAAGAAGGCAAGAGGGAGGAAGTGCGGGGCCTGGGGCTCTTGCCGCCATCACCCCTCGGACCTATCTGCCTCGTCCGGACGGCTGAGGAAGGGGGTGGGTGTGGGCAGGTGGGTGCCTGCCCTGCGGCGTCTGCCGCGATGGCCAGTAGACATCCCTTCCTGACCACCCTCACTATGCACCCCGGCTGCCCCCCCCCCTTTCCCCCTGCCTACAACGCCCGTCTCGCAGCCGCACCATTTCGCCCCTTTCCCCCTCCTCCCTTGCCGCGTTGCTATTTTTAACGTCGTCTCGACGCGGCGTGACGCGGCGCCAGTTTCGCTCATCAGCAAAGCGCACGAGAAATGAATGCACCCTCCCCAAAGTGTGGCAGACGGGATGAAAAATAGGACAAAAATAAAAAAATGAAAAAGGCTGAACTACAACAAAACCGGCCTGAAAAAAAATAGAAACGGGAAGAACACTACTTCCTTTATTTTTGTTTCCAGATACCAACACAGGAAAAGGGGCAGAGAAACCCACAAATGTCATGAATCTATCAACCGGAGGAGAGAAAGAATATGTGATGACCGCTCCGACCTTGGTATCGGCGGTGCTGCGTTTCAAATTGAATTTATTCATGGCATTCCACGGGGGACGATTGATCGCGCCAGCGGGACCGCGACGGGAGCGGGACGACGCGGAGGGCGAAGAACAGGGTAGCAGCCGAGGACTATTTGGCGCGGATCGCGACGGGGAATGGGGGGAGTGGAGCGGGGCTGTCTTGTAGGTAGAGGAGGAAGAGGAGGAGAGTGGGAAGGGGTGTTGATCGTTGCCCATCGACTGAACGTTGCTTCGAGAAAGGGGATTGGGCGGCGTGCAGCGTGCATGCGATCCGCAGGCCCCGGGTCCCACTCCTCCTCCGGCATGCGGGTTGAGGTCGCATCGTGGACCTAAAAGAGGAGTGGGCGAGGGCGAGGATGGGTGGCAGGAGGGGTGGATTTAGTGCAGGAGCAGGTTTACTACTGAAGTGGGTTCAGGTAAAGTGGTACTAGCGCTAGCGCCCCCCGGGTGGAGGGATAAATAAAGCGAACACAATCGGGCCGTTCGTCTTCATTTGATCTGCGGGGAGCTCCTCGGTCCTCCTCCCTCACCTGCGCGGGGGGTGGGGAGGGGGTGTAAAGGTACAGCCATTGACGCAGGCACTGCGCCGCGCTGCCCGGCAGACGGGTTACGTAAGGGCGCAAAGCCAAATTAATGTCAACAGCAGCACCCTAAGCAGCCGAGAGCGAGAGAGAGGAGAGAGAGAGAGAGGCTGGGAGAAAGAGAGCGCGAGAGACAGAGAGAAGACGAGTTTGCACGGCATGCCAAGAGTTGGCAACAACTGGCCATCTAGTCAGCAGTGGCCAGCAGGCGCCCCTCGCGTCGTAGCTTTATTGAGGCATGCATCGCGGCAGACCAGACTAGACAGGTGTGTGAGATAGAGAGACAGACAGAGAGAGAAGAAAGGTAAAGGGACCGGGGGATGAGAGAGAGAGAGACATGGAGACAGGGGGAGAGAAAGAAACAAGAGGGAGAGGGGGTGAGGGTTGCTTCTGGACGCGGACTGGTGGGCGAGGGAGCGAGAGCGTTGCTCAACCTAAAACTTTAAATAGATTCATCGTGTTGGGGGAGGCACGTGTATTTTTTTCGCGGGCGGCGGCTAAACTGTTGTTCGCGCTCGGTCATGAGCTTATGATGGGAGGGGCGACCCGATGGGCGGGCGGGGGCGGCGGGGGCGCCATGGGAGCGTGGGGTGGGTGACGGAGGCAGGGGGTGTGGCCGTGCCCAAGCCGCACTGGCCCCGAGGCGCCCATGGGAAACGCATTCGGACAGCAACCAGCTCGGCCGGGTTACAATAATTATTAGTGAGTTTGAAAATTGTAGGGTCCGAGTCGGGAGGATGATGCTGTTATCGCTGCAGTACAGTCACAACATTACCGCGGCTGCCTCTCATAAAACCTTGTATAGTTGCATTGGATGGCCACGGCCACGGACCCCTAACCCAGTCCCCTCCCGTATTTAGTGTAGTGTATTGCATGCACTCGTGCGGACCTATTGTCACCTCAGCACCCGTAGATGAACCTGCCCGTGTCAGCCCCTTCAAGCTCTAATAGCGCCTGCCAGCTAGGCAACATCTTGTCTGCAATGCATGCATGCACTGCGGGGCGGCCTACCCCGAGTCTCGCAGGCGCCAAGCTACGGTAATTATTGGCCTAATGAATCCGAGAAAAAACGGACTTATTCTTTCTGGACGATACTGATGTGGCCCATCATTGTCAACTGTAAATTGGACACGCCTGCTTTCCATCATAATCATCTTTGTTTGCCTTGCTTTTCATTTCAACGTATAAACTGCAAAATAATCATTGCAGCCTGTTTCCGCAGTGCGTATTGCGTGCCCACCCCACGGCGTCCTGCCATCCGGGCGCGCGTTGGCGGGGGTGTGGCCGGCGCGTCCTGGGCGTTCCCTCGCGCTCTCACAACTCACTCTTCTCGCTCTCCCTCTCTCGCTCGCTCGCTCTCCCTCACTCGCTCTCTTCATAAGTCCATCTCGCTCCGGCGCCGTGTTTACGTTTGTAACGACTAATTCTGGCCGCGCGGGTCTAAATTCGGCCACTCGGCCGCCGGGGGCGCCGCCACCGCGTCGAGCGAGCCGGCGGGGGAAACGACAACGATTTGCCGAGAGCCGCGCTTTGTCGGGGACGAGAGGAGGCAGCAAGCCAAGCTGCAGCAGCAGCAACGTCCCCCCAGCGGCCAACGGCCAACCCCAAGTCCGGCAAAGGCGCGCAAGCGTCCAGAGACGCACTCCATGCGCTGGCGGGCGCCTGGCGAAGCGCGATAGGCCACTTGTCGAACGCTGCTGCGGCGCGGCCTGTGAGTTTGCCTATCCACAGGCTGACTACTGGCGGGCCCCCCGTCCGCGGCGCCTCCACCACGACGACGACTGGATACTCGCGCACATACATTCACGCACACGTCCCCGTGCTCTCCCCAAACCGAACCCAAACACACCCGACCAACGTTTTATATTATGTATGTGCGAGGGTGTGGAAATCCGCTCTGCGATAGATCGGCGTGTGGCTTTCGTAAAAGCATTGTCAATCGGGAGCCAAGGTGACTCCTCCTCCTGCCCGCGCCCTGTCTCTCTACCCGGTCGTCGACTTGAAGGGGGAGAGTCCGGGCGAAGGGAGGAAAGTTGAACCACCATCAGGGACCCATCATTCACCGCCCTTTCAGCCCCACTCGAACACGGGCACACACAAAAAAAATAATCGTTCAGGAGATAACTAGACTGACCTAAATAACTGACGACACGTCGGTTTTCGCAGTTCCGCGTGTTTGTTTTTTATGTGTGTTTTTTCGTTCTACCGTTGATGAGTGTAAGTCGACTGCACGGCATATCTGCCGATTTTCGATTGCCGATCCTTTTCTCTTTCCGTGTTGCCGCCGGGCCGAAGGCCGGGGCCGGGGTGGCGTGCACGGGCCGTGCCCTGTGTACTGACCACTTGAGCCTCAAAGCGGCTGGCGCCGGGCGCCTGCGACCGGACCGGACCGCACCGGACCGCACCCGAACGGGTGCCGGCCGGCCAGCCACGTAACGTGACCTCCCCAAAAGGATCAGGGGTGCGATTTTTTTTGCACGCTTGTATAGAGGATACTACGTTTCGGAGGAGAGGCGGGTTGCTAATTTGATTTAGGCTCTCCAGTGGCACCGACATGGTGGCAGGTGGCGCATGTACTGCGGAGGGAGGTCGGAAAGGAGAGGGGTGTATTTCAGTTTAACTCCTTTTTTTTGCTCAGAACTTCCCTTGCATTATTGCTTTTGATTGTAGTTCAGTGTATTTCTGTGGACGAAAAAGAAGACATGTCTTCCCCCGCCATAATCCCCCCAGCCACTACCGCCTACCGCTCGCTCGGGCCGCTGATGCTCAGCGTGTGTTGTTCAAAGCCGTATCGGTAATGTGTAGTAATTGGATCGGCATCACTTCCGAACAAAAGCGAATGGTTCGCGGAACAATCGTTTGGCGCCCTTTCCCGCCTGTATACCGAGTCGGGCAGTCGTTCGGTGGGCGGGTGGGTCTTTGTTGTTACGTTTCTCTTTCACACGCCATACGGGCGCGCAGTGACGCAAGGAGAGAGGGGTCGTGGTAAAGGGGTGGGGGAGGGGGTGCAGAGGAAGGGAAGGGGGCGGTACAGCAGCAGCAGCAAGCCGTGCGCCGCGAGGGCTCGCAAAAAGTTATTGGCGAGTGTGCGAATTCCATGGCGTTAGCTGCCACGGCTGGCATGTGAGTCAGCATCAGCAGACGGCAGGCCAGGCTCCTTTTCCCCATCCTCATCCCCTCGCTCCCCACCAGCCCCTTGCCCTCTACCCCGCGGCTCTGTATGTGTGGATCGCCTCGCCTCCTTTTCCCGTTACCCGTCCGCGCCCGTCCATCCTTCTCGCTAATCGACGTAAATTGCGATACATCGATCGCCTTTGCTCCGCGCCGCCGCCAAGGCTGCCCACCCCTCCCCTCCCCGCCTCTCCCTCTACAGCAACTTACTTACACTCCACGATCGGTTTTTGTTTTGTCTGTGGGTCCGCCCGCTCGCGTACCACTGACAAGGAGGTGTGCACACCGAGAAAAATGAAAAGTTGTAGGAACCATCTCACGCGGTTCTTTCAGGGATATAACCAAACCATACATTATGGTTGAGACAACGATCCGCCTCTGGCTAAAACCGTATTGTTCGTTGATAAACCTCTGCTGTTGTTGACTCAACAATCTTGTATGGTATGGCTGTTCCTGAAGAAACCTTACGCTGGTTGCAACAACTTTTCATTTTTCTGGGGTGCAGCAGCTTGAGTATTAAAACGACGAAATGTTTTTTTAAAAAGATGTATTAGCTGCCAACATGTCTCTCTTTCCCTTTTGCGCTTTGGGAGTGATTTACCCCACCCCTTCCCCTCCTCCCCCGCGCCGGGCCGTGCCGGGCTCTCAATGGCGGAAGCCTGGACGCCACTCGACATTGGCAATTAAGGCCCCGCGAACACCATAACAGACTGGGCGAGAGGGGAGGGGGTGGGGGTGGCGCAGAGGATTTCGGGGAGATGTCAAAGGCACGGAGGGAGGGAGGGGCGGGGGGCCCGGAGGGGATGGAGTGAGGAGCGGGAGGATGGCCCCCCCGGTGCCCGTCGGTCCACCGGCCGGCCTTGGCAATGCCACAGCGGCCGCCGGGCGCAACACACAGCAGGACGACAGGGCGGCCGGGCACTCGCTTTAGGGGTTCATTCGACTCCCTCCCCCGTCTCCCCTGTTGATGACGAACGAGTTGGAGTTGCCGAACATGCCGCCGAGGCCGCAGAGGCCGTTGGGGCAGCCGCTGTTGCAGGTGGCGCAGGGCGGCTTGGGCGGCAGCACCGGCATCAGGGGCGGCATGACGGGCACCACGGGCATGATGGGGACGCCGCCGCCGCCACCGCAGGTGGAGCAGCCCACGCCGATGTTGCCCATGCCGCCGCCGCCGCAGCCGAAGCCCAGCATGGCGCAGCGGCCCTTGTTCTTGAAGTCCTGGCAGACGCAGGTCTCCTCGTCGCAGCGGCCGCCGGCGTGCTTCTGCTGCTTGCAGTGCGTCGCGCAGGTGGCGGCCTCGCAGGGGCCCTGCACGCCACCTGTGCAGAGCATAACACCCTCGTCAAAGACAGTGACCAATAGAGCCATGCAACACCTCTGTCAAGAGGTTGGCGGCGAACAGACCAGGGCCCCGGAAATGTTTTAGGGGACAACAATGATGACCTCCAAATCTGTCGGGAGTCCTGCTTGAAAACTACCAAAGCTACGCATAGTTTTCAAAGAACCACCTTATAAAACATGTGTGGAGACCTCCAGTCGCCTCCAGTGCAAAGCAATCGTGAAATACAGGTTGGTCCACAGACCCCTTCCTCAATTTTGCTTATACTGCACCGCATGCAGGCATGCGTGCGGGCTTGCCCACCCCAGATCGCCGTTGCGCCTTATGGCCCCGTGAGAGTATGCAACCCTGCCGCACGCCTACACTTCCTCCGGTACATTAAAATCAAAATAAAGGAAAGGGTCTGTGGGCAACCCTGTATCAACAAATAGCTTTTATATCAACTCTCATGGTCGCAACAAGGTATTCCGCTGGATGACAAGCGGAGCCTAAAGAAGAAAAGCATGCCTGTCCGACCTGTTTCCTCCGCTGTCCACCACACCGACATCATCGTCGGCCAATCAGCGTTCAGAAGGAATTAGGACGACAGACCTGCAGTCATCCTCTTCTTCTTTACGTTACGATCGTCTTGCAGTGTAGAAAACCCTATTCTGACTCCCTGGCTAGGGGAGGGATCACTGAGCATTTGAACGATTTGAACACACTCGATTCACTTGCGTGTCACTGACATACTTGGCTTATTCTGAGAGTCGACGAGCTCCTCTTCATCGGCGCCGGCCATGGACGAGACCAGCACCATCACCGCCAGGATGGCGGGCAGAAAGTCTGCGGACACACAAGTCAGGACGTCGTCGAAGAGACGGGCTCGGAAACGGGCACGTCTCCGCTGAAATTATAAGAGGACGCAAAACCGAACGTCGACAGAGGGAACTTACGACCCATGGTGGGGCTGTTGGGCGACTGGGCGGCGCACGATACTGGTAGGCCCGGCGAGCACCGGTCTGCAGCTGCTGCAGCTGCACAGTCAAAGATCGTCAGCTCCTTTCCTTTGCATTCGGCGTTGTTGGTTTGTTATGATCGACTCATTTGCTTTACTTTTTGCACAGTGATCGTAGGAGCCCCTTCTCGGAGCACGCCTCCTCAGACATCACAAACCAACAAGATGACGCCCCCCCCCCACACACACACACAAAATAAAAGACTGCGAGAATCATTGCACAACATCGTGCCAAATTTCCGACTCCAGGGCAGAAAATTACAAGGAAGGGGCGACCAGTGTCGCTGCATCTCTTGCAGGCCGTGAAGGCCGGCCTCCCCTCTCTCCCCTTCTCCTCTCTCTTTCTATCCCCCTCCCGCTGCCACCGCGCTCACCCCCTCCCCCCACCTCGTCCCTCTCCTCCCCTCCCCATCCACCTCTCCCGCTCCTTTCTGTCCCTCTCTCCTCTCCAGCAGTCCGCCCATCTACCTCTATATTCTCTTTGAATCTCTGCTCCTTTTTTCTCTCACTCCCTTTTCATTCACTCGTCTTCTTTCGACCGCCACTCCTCTCGCTCGACTGGGCCACAAAAAA